AGGGTCTAGGCCCGAAACGTCAGCCTTCCTGCTCCTCTGATGCCGCTTGGCCTGCTGTGTTCATCCAGCTCTACACCTTGTTATCTCTAACAAGAGTCTGGGTTGGGAGCGTTTTGAAATAAACTAGTGTGATCTAAGTAGATCTTTACTGCAACAATCTGAATCTTCTGAAAGAAGCAGCGATATGAAGATTCTGCCCTAGCCTGAGGGGAGAGAGACTGGAAAGAATACTTCAGCACTACTGCTGTGAAATTGTTTATTAACTAGCAAAACACATTCACCTGTTAAATAAGTGAAAAAGACTTCTCTTACTTTCTCATGAAAAGTCTTCAGAGAATGTCTGTCCAGTTTATTCTGCCATAGTTAGATTTTATGATTTTTACCTCAACTGTTTACCTGTCCTTGTTTCGTGTTCACTTACACAGCTGAAATCCATTGACCTCTGACAATTAATGTCAGTTTATGGTCATAGCTTTTTGGAGAACTGAGTTCTCGATTTAAATTGAGAACATAAGAAATGGGAGCACAAAGACATTCACCTTGATCCTGCTCGGCTAGTCGTTTTTTAGCCTCTATTCCACTTTCTCAATCAGCACTCTTGAACCCTTGATTCCCTGGGAGATCAAAAACCTATCACAGCCTCCATTATATATTTACTATCCATAGCCCTCCAATGGTGGAGAATTAGAAAAGGTTAACAGTCCGAGTCAGGGAAATCTTTTCTCAGTCCTAAATGATTTGGCTTGTTAATCCAAGACCCCGCTCAGTTTCCTTCACTAGGGGAAAACCACTACGTGTATACATGTCAAACCCTTTCAGAATCTCAGGGTTCTGTAGAAGGGTCATTGGACCTGAAACATAAATTCTAATTTCTTTCCACAGATGCTGCCAGACCTGCTGAGATTTTCCAGCAATTTCAGTTTTTGTTTCCGATTTCCAGCATCCACAGTTCTTTCAGTTTTGTTTTGTCCATTCAGAGACTTGTATGTTTCAATGAGATCACTTATTTTTCCCCAGTGGTGCAGAGTTTCAACTCTGGGGGGCATGCACAGGTAATCGAACCTGATTTACTCCTTGAGCAGTACCATTAATGTAAATGTTTTCATTTATCCCCCAAAAATGGCTAAATTGTTTCCCTTTGCTACTTTTTTCTTAATTCATTCACAGGATGAGGGAATCGCTGGCTAGGCAGCATTTATTGCCCATCCCTAATTGCCCAGAGTCAACCACATTGCTGTGGGTCTCGAGTCACATGGAGGCCAGACCAGGTAAGGATGGCAGTTTCCTTCCCTAAAAAGGATATTAGTGAACCAGATGGGTTTTTCCAGCAATTGACAGTGGATTCACAGTCATCATTAGATTCTTAGTTCCAGACTTTTAATTGAATTCAAATTCCACCATCTGCCCACGGCAGGATTTGAACCTGGGTAAGTTATCTGGGTCTCTGGATTAACAGTCCAGCGATAATACCACTAGGCCATCACCTCCCCGCTATCCAGAATGAGAGACTTTCATCAGATTTATTTCATAAACTCAGACACCTCTTCACAAAAAAATAATTTTTTAAATCAAGTGGCAAAGGTGGTTAACAACTAAGATGTATCCTCTTAATCCTGAACACATTCACACAAACGAACAAGACATTCAATGCAGCTCTGCAGACATATGGCTTTCTTTTTCAAAAAAAAAGCAAGCAAGCAACGAATAGGGGTAAAAAAAAAAGTCTGTGGGCCAAGGGTCTGACCTCAAAAGGATAAAATGGGAACCTTTATCAGTTCCCAAAGTTTCCTTTTGATGAGATCAAAATGTTAACCACAGCGATTAAAGATCTTCAGCCCAGACTTCAAGTTAGGAAAGTCATCCTGACTTGGGTCTTTGACTAGAAGCTGCAGTTCAGCTTTAGAAGTAGTTTCGTAGAATAGAAGTAGTTAAAGATAATGATACTTGCAACTTTTCTCAGGTACCCAAAATACTTCATTGAAGGAGAAGCCAGCTGGCTCAGCTTAGGGGGTTCTCTTCTTACATTGGTAAGTGAGAAAGTCTTGTTTACTGCAAGCTTTGGAGATCTTTTTCTTCTACTGGCACACCCAGATGTCCTGGACAAACAGAAACCAATTCTAGAAGAGTGCTACTAGGCAACTTCCAGCACGTGGGCCTCCATCTCTTCCGAACCAAGTTTATCCAGCAGTTAAAACCACAAAGTTCATCTCTTGCCTCTCCAGGTTTGCTCATTTACTTTCCAAAGTGACTTGCCTTTTCAGTAAATAGCAGGTGAGTCACATCTCACATTTATACATTTGACTTTATTTCCAAAAGAAATGCAAGTCCCCCTTCAGAGCTTCAGTTTAAACCCTTTTTCAATCCAGAAATTTTCAAACAGTTCCATAGCCTAGTTCCTCATGGTCTTTGATATGTATTCCCGATGCTACAGTGAAGGAGACTAGTTCCATTTTCAGCTGCTTCAATGACCTTCTCTCTATCATAAGGTCAGAGGTGGGGGTGTTCGCCAATGATTGCACAATGTTCATCACCAATCGTGACTCCTCAGATACTGAAGCAGTCCATGGACAAATGCAACAAGATGCGGACAATATCCAGGCTTGGGCTGGCAAGTGACTTTTGTGCTGCACAAATGCCAGGCTATGACCATCGCCAATAAAAGACAATAACCACTGTCCCTGGATATTCAATGGTGTTACCATCACTGAATCCCCCACTATCAGCATCCTGGAAGTTATCATTGATCAGAGACTCAACTGGACTCACCACAAACAGTGGCTACAAGAGCAGGCCAGAAGCTAGGAATACTGCAGCGAGTAAGTCACCTCTTGACTCCTCAAAGCCTGTCTGCCATCTACAAGGCACAAGTCAGGAGTGTGATGGAATACTCCCCACTTGCCTGGATGAGTGCAGCATGAACAACACTCAAGAAGCTTGACACCATCCAGGACAAAACAGCCTTCTTGATTGGCACTACATTCACTTGCTCCACCACCAATGCTCAGTAGCAGCAGTGTGTACTGTGTACAAGATGCACTGCAGAAATTCACCAAAGATCCTCAGACAGCACCTTCCAAACCCACGACCACTTCCATCTAGAAGGGCAGCAGATATGGGAACACCATGTCCAAATTCCCTTCCGAGCCATTCACCGTCCTGACTTGGAAATATATTGCTGTTCCTTCGCTATCACTGGGTCAAAATCTTGGAATTCCCTCCCTAAGAGCATTGTGGGTCAACCTACAGCAGGACTGCAGCAGTTCAAGAAGGCAGCTCACCGCCACCTTATCAAGGGCAACTAGGGACAGGCAATAAATGCTGGCCCAGCCAGCGACACCCACGTCCCACAACTGAATAGGAAAAAGACGTTTGCTAAATCTCTCATCAAAAGTATACCCCTCTTATTATCAGGAAAATAACTAGTAACTCTTTCTTGTACTGTCTCTGATGCAGATGTATCCTTCTTTTAAATATGGAGAAACGAATTTCACACAATGCAACAAATGTGGTCTCAGCCACAGTTCTATACAAATGTGCCAACCCTTCCTTGTTCACAAACTCTCTGTATAGGAATAAGTTCTGTTCTGGAATCAGTTTACAAGTCAGAACACAATGCAGGACAATATAAAGGAGCCATTTGTACGTTGGCTTTTTGAAACTGCAGTCTGTGTAAGAGAGGGTGTTCCTAAGCATGAGTGTTTGTAAATTGGGGACCCCCTGTAGTCCAGTCCAATTGCAAAAAGGCCAAAGAACTTACATTCCTAATTTATCATTCATGCATGCAAAATATGTACAGTTTTGGAATCCTTATTTAAAGGTGATTATTCTTGAGTTGGAGTCAATTCACAGATGGTTCACTAGGTTAATTCTGCAATTGAAGGGACTACCTTGAGAAAAGGTTGAGTAGATTGTAGTTTGGAAGAAGTAATATTGAAAAGAAGATAGGAGTGGTGATGCTAATATGATGTGTCTCTTTTTGGGGAACTTATAACTAGAAGCACAGAGTTTCAGGGTAAATGTCTACTGTTGAAAGAGAGATGAGGACAAGTTCCTTCTGAGGGTTGTTTGTCTTTGTATATATCTTCCACAGAAAGCAGAATTTTTTTTTTTTAAATGAGGAATATGGGA